CACACACACACACACACACACACACACACAAAATACACACAGAGTCTCTATACTATATACAGGTATTTACAATGGTGTACAATTAATGCGCGTTAATGATCGCGCGCGCAGGCAGATGCGCCGTCAGGGGGATTTTGCGAGGACGTTAACGAGCGGTCGCTATCGAAAGCATGGACTGAAAACCGACCGACAGATCGGCCGAGTATTGTTTTGTCATAGGCTTGATCGCCGTTGCATTGCACATTATTACGTCCATCATGCGGAAAGTTCGCGAGAGCTCTCACGAAAATTACAACCGCACGAATTGCAATGCGCATCGAAACGATGCGTAAACGCTGCTTGATTTATGTACACAAATAATAGTCCAATGCTTATCTCGAAATATTATCTTTCTGCAATATTAAATAGTATTTCTTTACAATGATACGGTACGCATTTCGACAGCATTGCATTCGGAAGCGGTTTAATTTTCGCAAGTGCGGAGCTAACAATGTCTTTTTTTGCACGTATTCATCAGTCCTAGAATCTTTACAACGCTGGAAAAATGCAACGGCTATTTGGATGAATTTTATGTGACTGGAATTCTTATGATCGATTTATCTATATGCGATGATAAATGTTCGAATATCAACGAATCTTTGTCGCGATCTTTGTTTTGGAATTTTCGCGAATTTACACACAAAAAAATAATAATAAACTCGACAATTGTGCACATTTGTGAAGCATCTATAGAAAATAGTAGTGACAAATTGTACGGTTACAAAAGTTTGAGAAATACAAAATAAATTATAATTAATTCAAGATATCTTCGTGATAATTCGAAGCGTCTTCATAACAAATGAGCCTTCTAGCAAATATAACATAAAAAAAATAGCCATGATAGTGTCGCTGCGCGTATCTTAGTGCCGAGACACTATCAGTCTCCAGATCATTATATATGTTTCATAAATGATACTCACATTATTTTCCATAAATACTTCACAATTATTTGCGCGATTAACAGTATTCGATTAACAGTATTCTTCACACTATCGAATTAGCGATCAATTAATAATTTGTCCTTTTTCTGCAAAAATTTTTTCGCGGCTAATCATTCATCGCTTTCGAAAAAAAATCTTCCATCGGCACGAGCTCTTCATCGTCAAACTCGACGCTCCTCAAATTCTACTCTTCTACGTTTCTGTCCACGTCCACGAAATTCGTCTTGCGAGTCGAATGTTTCGAGAGGGTTTCGAGAGGAACGTCGATGGTTACCAATTTTCTCGACCGCGGTTTTTGTTTCATCATCTTCGTACCTTTCCGTCGCGGTCATTTGTACAATGTTTCATCGACCGCGAAGGATCCATTAAGTTCACCCGTTTCCTCTTTACCTCTTCTGTTGCTTTACTTCGCCGTTGTTTCATTTCTTTCTCTCTCTTTCTATCATCATCATCTCCTTTTTTTCCTCTTCTCGTCACCGAGCAAAGAAACGTCTTCAGCAACGTGACAAAGGACAACAAACGTTGTCCACACAGTCGAGTATGATTCTTTGGTTTTTCCGAGGACGACTGCGGCCAGCATTACGCGGAAATAAACGAATTCCATGAGAGAGAATTCCTCTTGTTCAGGTTTGGATAGAAATGCCTCCTTCCTGAAGAATTTCATTTTTCCCGGATGGCCAGCCGACTTCGTTGAAATCCAGCTCGATTCTTTGGTTTTTCTTCAGAATGCGGAAGAGTGCGCGATGACGGGATTGGATGACTAGTCTCGCGATCACGCGACTTCCTCTTTCCCGGAGACCGACGAAGTAGAATATTATCCGTAACTTTCTCGTGCACTGCCCCGTTCGCTCTCTAGAACGACACGCGAAGACATTTTATCGTGGCTCAAGATGACCATCTTCCTACAATGACGTTTCCTTGTCCCGCTGATGGCACAGGAGAGTACGAATCTAACAGTTGATTTTTTTTATGATTACATCGTTCACAAAATTGCCCGCATTCCTCCGTGATGAAGTAGTCCCACGTTGCGTTTAAGAAGCTTTCATGGGATTGCAGGACAAACGCGGACTACTGTGTTATCAAGCAGGAAAAATGAAACGTAATGAGAACATTCGCTCAATTTTCTTCTTCCCATTTCTTTCTTCTTCGAAAGTAATTTCTTTCTTCTTCGTACGTTTATTTTTACCGATTATTATTGCTTCTGTTCAAAATTTTCTTTGTTTTAGAATTTTTAATCAACAATAAATTAAATTTCCTCGCTCGTTTTTCACTTCTTTTCAACAAGCGCTCCGTCGCTTCTCTTGACTGTCACGCGCGAACAGGCCGGCTTGGAAGAAAATATGTACTACGAAACTATTACGCGATTCTTTTCGCACGGAAAGTGATCGAAGTCACGTTCTTTGAAGAAAACAACTGTCGACGACTCCGTCGCGTAACTCTCGTTCCTTACGTATCTTTCGCTTTTGGTGCTTCGGGAACGATTTAACTCACGGTCTAGTGTGTTATTGAGAGTCCGGGATACTTGAAAATCTCCGTCGACGTTGCTCGACGACGGTCTCTCCCATCTTTTCCTTCGTTTCTTCTTCTTCTTTTTCTTCCAAGGGCGATCAGCTTCGCGTTACGTGTGCCTCGGTTGGCCGTACGCGAAGCTGACCTCGCGTCATGGATAGTCGGGGTGCATCAGATTGTACATGATCGCGAAGATTGTGCAGGCGGCATAGACACCCAAGGCAACCCACCAGAGTAACTGCTCATGTAGCCGCTGCTCGAAGTTCTTCAGTACCAGAAGGCCGATTGTTAGGCCCGCCAGGGCACCCGTCAGGTGAGCGACGTACGACACTGGCGGACCCATCTGTTCCGCAGCGTATCTATCGTAGATTGCAAAGCCCACGTCGGCGCTAGCTGTAATCAGAAATATTAAAATTTGTATGGAAACTTGTTACTGCTTGCTTAGAATTATTATCCATGATATATAATATTTCGTTTCTCCACGCGTGTCTCAATTTATCTACACTGATCTATAGTATTAAATTTAACCTATTATGTCGCCACTGCTCCTGCTCAATATATTGTTTTTTATGCATTATTTTATACTAAAAATAATAATAATACATAAAATAATGATACATTGAATAAGAGCTATGGCGACTTACATTAGATTAAATTTGACACTAAACTGACATTTAACAGTGTATCTAAATTTAAATTGTTTTGTTTATTAAATTTTAAATTGAAATCCGATTCTACTTTTACTATCTTTCATATTAATAGAATTTACAATTAGTAGGGCATTAATACAACAACGTAGACAGATTAATTAAAAATGAATAAAGGAATAATGCACTTATCAAGGCATTTATTTTTTAAAAATTCTGTTTAGCTGTGTCTTCTGAAAGTACAGTTGAAAATGCATAGTAAAGCGATAAAGAGAACATGAGAGGAATAAGAAGAGAAAGAAGAGCGAAAGAGAGTAGAGCAAAAAAGTAAGGATGCCACGAAGAGTCGAGCCGACGGTAAGCTTTGAGAAGCTCTCGAAGTTATCGTCAAGAGAAGAGCTTTCCTGCAGCTTCCTTCCTGCAGCGGTTTTTTTCTATGTCTGCGATCATTGTCGATGATTATGTAAGTTGTTGTATTCCCGTAAGTAATTTTCTTCTTAGTTAATGTAGTGTGCAGATTTTTGTCTTTAGTTTCGCAATCCATTAAGTATTTCTCATCTTCTACGAATCTACATTCTTTAGGAAATTTTTTATTTCCTTAATAAATGCAAATTATTACATTTCTTTTAAAGATTCTCTTAAATATGAGTAATTCATAAGGTCTTACATTTCTAAGAGATTTCTATTTTATTAAAGTTATAGTGTCCTTTAAAATTTTTATAATTATATATTGTATACCAAAATTATAAAAAAAATTTGAAAAATAACTAATAATTAGTTATTATTTAATGTTCTAAACTAGTTTATAAACTAATTTATGTTAAAATTAAATTAATATAATTTAGACATAGAAGAAGAAAATATTTTATTATCCTTTATAAAGAGATATTTCATTTTCGACATTTAATAATTCTACAATTGAGTTTAAAATTTTCGTTAACGAGATATGAACTTTAAACTTATCGAAACATTTAAAACTTTGAGGAAGTATACGAATTCTGATGTACATCCTTTATACTGTTTTCTTTCTCTATTTTCAAACGCGATCTCTTTACGTCGTTGTTGCCATCGTTTAACTTGGATATTAAGGTTGAGTTATACAACTCTTCAAGTAACAAAAACTAGACCTCTCCAAGTTTTTCCGTCTATTCTAACTTAATTATTTTCTCGACTGCAATCATCAGTATATCTATAAGTATATTCATTATATATGTAATATGCTATAATATGATAATATTGTCGTATCTTTTTTATCATAAGCGATATTCTTCATTTCTATATCAATTCTGTGCTATCTTCCGTTTCAGCTTATATAATCCAATTTTGATAGAATTGTTAGATGAAAGCTTAGTTAATATTAGCTAGTTAATATTTGGTTATACATTATTATCTGAAGCACTTTTAGTAATTTGTAGATCTCATCCGTTTCAATATTAAAATTAATCATGATCGATATATGATTATTCCATAGACTTCGCTTAATAATTATATGCCATCTCTATCTAAATTACATTTACGTATATAATTAAAATTGCAATTTCCTCGTCGTGAAAATTTATCTAATTCCTTCCAACTTTCTCTCCTTTTTTCATCAAGATGGATTCCAATCCGCTATTATTCCATCGCTTTGAATATCAGCATCTCTTCTTTAATTTTCAACCAGGCTTACTCAGGTGCGAGCTTGATGACTCAATAAACACATCGACATCATGCTCGTTTCAAAAATTAACGGAACAGCTACCTGTTCTTCTCGTGGTAAACAATCTCTACGTTGACGAAAATTCTTCGCGGCGAGCACACCTATCTTTTAATTAAAACTTCAAAATAGCGACGGCTTTCATGGCTCTTCCTTCCCTTGCGCTTTTCAGCTCTTATCACGGGGGAAAAAAGCGGAAATTGAAATTTCAGGAAAAGTATATCGAAATGAAGCGCGAGTAGAGGAAATCGAACGACTAGATGATAGTAAATAAAAATAAATCGCGAAAAGAATATTAAAACGATATTTAAATCGACAAATTCGATATGACTCTATTAGATTTAACAAATCTAATATATAATTAATCCCATTTCCAAATCTGGTACCCTAATTAAATGGAATTGTCAATACTCGGAAATGTTCTAAGATATGATAATGAAAATTCGAATCTCTCTCATTCCTTCACAGAGTTCTGATTGCAGTTAATAGTGGCGCACTTTCTTCGCATCTTAAGATGTTATAAGAGACAGGAGACATCTCGCCACGTCGCAGATTCCTGCGAGAGCGTCATTTGCATTCGCGGCTGAACGGATGACCCGCTTCCACATCGTGAGAGAGCGCGTTTATCGATCAAGCTCTACTTCGCCCGTCAAGCTCTCGCGCTGGGATTACGATGTAATCCAAGTCGAAGCGCGTAGATCGGAACGGGCCTGGGCTGTTACCACCCGCGGATAGAAACTATGCGAATATATATGCGAATAGTGCAAGTAGGGGAAAATGAGAGACAGAGAGGGAGAAACCGACGGCAGATATCCGAATCGGCGCTGACGGTAATCAACCCCTTAAACAAGGTTATTGAAGACTCGAGAGGTTCCGTCGAAGTGAATTTGAGGCGACTCTAGGGCCACTAGAACCAGATAATGCGCACGTACAGTGGCGGTCAGATTACGTGCTATACAGATCCTCGATACTAGAGTCTACGTCTTTGCCAATATTGCGCTATTATTATACTACGCCGCCATAGGCGGCGTAGTTTTGAGATTGTATTGTGCTCGGAAGTCCGAGATACTTCATTTTAATCCTTAAGAACGTGTCTGCAAATTCGCGACTCTGAAGGTTCACTACTTTATAAAGAGACTAATGGAAAGATGAGGTATCGTTCAGAAACTGTTCCTCTCAGTTTTTAATTATTTCTCTTAAATTTTTCATAAAAGATTAATCTTCTTTTATTTACATCACAAATACATTATAATTTTATATAAAAGTCATTTTCCATAGTGAGGATTAATTCTTTATTACATCGTGAATTCATAATATTTGTAACAGTACTTGTCAAGTAATAATTTGTAGAGTAAGATGGTACAATTTCGAACATGATATTATATAGTTCTGGACAAAATAAAATTTGAATCCAATTTTCGAGATTCAATTTTTTTTCCTTCTTATTATATGGAGGATACTGAAGGATAGGAAAAACTCAAGCTTAAATTTCAAGACTTGGATTTAAATTTTATTTTGTTCGAAATTGTATCTTATTCTATATTGTAATAATTTATTTCTGATAATTTCTCTGTAATGTTTAACCTTTAGCAAGGAACAGGCATGATTAATATCTACTACCGTCTGCAGCATTGGTCAATCGTGATCGCTCTCGAAAGCATCGATCGAAGATATCGAGCTAGCACGTCGAAAGTAGATAGGATTGGTTGTGGTGGTTGCGGGCCGACGATCGAGGAAGTAGGGTCCACTTACCGATGACGAAGATGCCGATGAGCCGAACTATCCCAAACTCCATATTGTTGTAGTTGAGAAGGACGTTGGCTAGATGCGCTGCTAGAAGGGCATAAACGCCTCCGCTCGCTCCAACGAGGTACACGTCCGTGTCGAATACCGACGTGCCCAGCGAACCTGAAACCACAACAAATATAACTTCTTAATAACTTCTTAATTACTGCTCCAAACGTTTTCATTTTGTTTTTTTCAAATCAACGATTTAGCGAATTTTCCCATTTTTCTAAACGCCAACAATAATAATGATTGATTGTAGAATTTGACAACCAGTATCGCTAATTTGTTACTGAAATATCACAAATTGAAAGTATTCCAGTTTGAAAAACCGTAAATTAAAGTTTCGTTTCGGTAACTAGATTACTTTCCACTTATAGTAGAGTAAAAATATTTAATTTGAAGAGTCATGGAGCAGTAAAAATTATTTTTTATATACATCACTATATTATTCTATCTATCCTCCCCTTTTGCAAAATGCGGAATTATGTAATCAATGCAATTTTAGAGAAAAAACGAGCGTTCTTATGAAACTGAAAGCTTCCCGAGCTTCCCGAATTTTGAGAGTTTCGGTCATTATTTGTCGAACTGAGAAACTCGTTTTTTTTTTTCGAACAACCGCAAAGTACGGATAGAATTTTTCGCTTTCGCCGCCTTCAGCAAATAAAATAAGAATAATATTCGCTCTCAACAATTCGAAAGTTCGCACGGCGCTCCAGTTTAACGACGCCAAAAACTCTCTCTTTCTCTTTTTCCCTCTTTGTCCTTGTCATCACTCTTTCTCTAGTTTGTTCGGAAACATCTGTTGCTCCACGAAATGTGGAAAAAGCTCATCGGAAACCGAGTACCGTAGGAATTGCAATACAAATATATAGTATATAAGATTTATACACCCCGATTTCTAAATTTTCCTTTTGCTTCTCTTTTAATATATAATTGAATTTAAAAAAACGAAATCTCTCTTAAAATTTCGCAATATTTTAAATGCCAGAAACGTTTAATGTGCATATAAAATCACAAATCTCTATTTTCTCTTTAATATATAGGTACAATGTAATTCGTATTATCAAATATTTGCATTCACGGTGGACGCCTGTTGTCCCTGTAACGCACTCGCCATTTGGTCGATTCGCAAGGTTGACAGTACAAAGCGCTTCCGGGCGCTTATAACTAGCTCTGATTATTAGAGACGGAATTAGGAACCTGTCTTCAAGCATAACCCATAATTTGGCAGATTGCTCACGGCTGTAGGAAATAATGTTTGTTACAACATGACTCGTGATAAATAATCGATATATCATCAGGCATATGAGAATCTAATCAATATATAACATATATTTGATATATGATTATACGAACAGAATGATTTGCTAGAATATTTAAAAATTTAGCTAGATACAGAATTTGAAAATAATTTTGTTGAACTATCAAAATAATTATGTTGTTCACTCAAACTGTTGCTAGAATATTAAAACTTTTTGCAGCATTGCTCTCATCGTGCTTGAAATTCCTACGCAATTATTTTGATAGTCCAACAAAATTATTCTCAGATCTGTTAGATAAAAAAAGCAATGATAACTCAATCCCTTTTATTTTAAATTAAAGAACATTTTGTTATTTTTAACTTTCGTCTTAAAATGTGTCTTAAAATGTAATCAATCAATTTCTGGTTAGTTTTAAAGTAAATATCGTCTAATTAACATGTATATGTTAGGTAACTTGATAAATAATAAACTAAATTTGAATAAAATTTAATACATTTTCTTGAGTTAAATTATTTAATTTATTTAACTTGGTTAGTCAAGTTAACGACATATCGGGTAAGAGCAGTGACGATCTACATAAATGATAAAAAATAGTTCAAATTGGTTAAAAAAATATTTGACATTATGAATTTAACATAGTGTAACTAAATTTTTGGATACTTCAGTAAAACTGTCCTTTCAGTGCACATACAAAAAAATACATTTTTTTTATTATGTAATCTTCATTAAAATTACAACATAAAAATTGTGTTATGTAAACTTGAAAATTCGCAAATATCTGAAAATGTCGGACAACATAGTATTCCAATTACGCATCGAGCTAACAATAGAAGACAATTCGACGCACGATAGTATTGCAATAACAGCAGCAGCGCAACAATTTCGACAAATTCTGCAATTCGCATGTTTCGTACTCGCGTAACGTGTACCACCATGGAAAGAGCGTGTAGCATAGTGCGCAACAATTTCAACCCCGGGAGCAACGGTAATGTATCAGACACACGATCGCGCTAGTTAAACATTAATATCGCGTCAGGCAGGCGGATGGTGCTTCGAGAATCGATGCGGCACTCGCCTATATATCGTGGGAAATGAGTGAGGACATTAGTCGCTTCCTATGTGGAAATGGTGGCGACTGGTCGGGTGTTGGTGATTCGTGTCTGGAGCGGCCAGGTATCATCTGACACTTGGGGACCTACTGACCGATCGCCCTCCGCGAACCTTAACCGTCCGACCCACCTTTGATCCGTCCTAAATTACGAGTGCCATGTCCAGTGTTTGACGAGATTGCCCCGATTTATTAAGGCCGCCATTCCTAATCCGCCGCTGTTGATATACGAGATGTTCTCCGCGTTCTGTTTTAGTTACGAATTCTTTCCGTAAACTACAGTACATTCTTCTCTGATAAACATGTCGAGGGATTAAAAGTTTCTGAATTATAAACGCATGAAAAACTAAAGAATTTAATTCTAATTAAAGCTACAGGGAGAAAGGGAGAGCAGGTAAACATATATTCTTCAGGTAATTTCAGATGGAAATTATCTGCCTTTTCTCGTTTTTGTTATTTGAATTGTCAGAAGTCATTGTTTGTATTTAATTTCAGAGGTAGAGCGTTTTCTTTCAGGAAATGAATTTTTTAAAATTATAGACTCGCGAATAAAACGTAAGATTGTGTCATACGCATTGTGCGAAACTTCGCACGCGTGACATCCTCGTTTCTTGCGAAACCGACGATTCAATTGAATTTGTCGCTACGCACTGGTCATTAACGCGCGACCTACATCAGCAACAGCAGCCTTCACGGGGGAGCCATGCGAAGCGCCCCTGTTTCGTAAACTACCTACACGGAGTTTCCGCAAAGCGCAAATCGCGTCTAAGCCGGTGTGCACCGGAGCGACGTGGAAATGCATTAAGGATGCAAACATCAATTCGTGCGAGTTTGCGAACGCTCTGAATTACTCGCAATGAATTATTAGCGTCTGCTTAATAAATGATCGAGTCACATCCAATCGGAACAAGAGAGCAATTATTCGAGACGCATAGAATTAGATGGTTCATAATATAACTATTAGTTTATTCGAACAGCAGGCACCGATATTAACCAATGTCACAAAGATGCAATTGCATCTATCTTGGAGACAAAAACAATTAAAACCGATAAAACTTTACGCGATTACGCAAGAAATCTGACTTAAAATCTGAATAAAAATAATAAAAATTTTATTATTTTAAAATTTAAAATGTTATTCTAATTAATAAAATATTGATAAATTATAACGAATATTTATTATATCAACAATTCCAAATCACACTGATGAAGAAGTGATTTATAGCCATGCACATTTGTAATGTAATATAATGCAATAATGTCGCAGACTGAGCTGCAAAAGCGGTAATACGATTATAAAAGAGAAAATTTAAGGTCTCAACTGTCATCGCCAGTCTGTTTGTCATCGTGCCATAGTAGTTAATTGAAAGTTGAAGCACGCCGACAGACCACTTTACTTACTCCTGTGCACGACGAACCATGGATCTCTGTTGTAGTAATTGACTCGAGTTAACGGATACTAGCTCAAGAGGCTGCTGATTCCCCTCATCCGCTCTCCTTGGTCCAACTTAGACGAGTATTTACGGTTTACCGTCATTTACCTAACCGAGACTAGGAAACGAGCCATAGCAGGAATAGTTTATTCGACGCTCGAAATTAACAAATCGATACTTTGCTGATTGACTTACTTTAGCATTTAATTATCAGTAGCAAGAACTCTCTGTGTTTTTTAAAATTGAAATATTTAACTATACATTGGAATTTTCTATTCATTTTTCCTAATTTTACTTTGATAAATTTTATATTGCTCTCTGAATATAATTTTATTGAAATAATATTTATGTAAACAAATTTTTTTCATCGTTTTTGAGAAAATTGCATAATAATTAACAGATTTAACTACATTTTAGTTTTCCGTTTGCTACGTTTTCTTCAAATAAACGGTATCGCCATATTCACGATTAAATTAGCCCCGCAATTGCAACGAACGTGGAATTCATTACGTATTTTCTAGGCGCCAAGGTATCTATACAAAAAAAAGTAAGCACGTAAAAGGATGTAAGGATTCTGTATGCTTTCTAGCAATTTCCTGTATAGGAAATGTATGCGTGCATATACTGCATGCAGATATAGAAAGAAGAAAAAGATAAAAATAAGGTAGCAGCAAGGCGCGTTGTGAAAATTAGCGACCTAGCGCGAGGATGAGCGCGAGGACTAAAAGAAAGCGAAAAAGGAAAAAAATGAAAAGCTGCGAAGCGTAATAGAGTCTTCATTGCGGACTTCTCATAGGTTATGAAATTCATCCGAGCCTTCGTTAGTGTCTTCGACTTTGCCTTAAGGAAGAAAGCATGAAAGGAAGGGAAGTGGGTCGACACGGTCTGCCAACACGAAGCACCAGCGCGAGTTAATGTCTTCGCGACCTACTCTTATGATTACAGCGAGTCGTTCTATCCGTGTATCTACCACTCCACAACTCGCTACAATCAGCCTGTCCAACAATGAATATCACTAACTTCGTCCAGGTATGAATATATCGAGGAATTTCATTGTTGACATTCGCATGTCTGAAATAGAATTGTATCTTGCAACTTTAATAAGACAATTTCTTTAAAGTTTTTGCGACAAATTTTCAGCGTTACGAGAAAGAAAAGAGGGGAAAGAGAGAGAGAGAGAGAGAGAGAGAGAGAGAGAGAGAGAGAGATACTCTGGAAACCTAATTAATTTACTTTAAAAATAATCAATTCTATCGATCAGCCGCGATAAGATTTAACACGCGATAAGGTGTCGCATATATTTTTCAGTGTACAGAA